CTCGATAGAACTCGAGTTTTGCTCGATCTCGATCGGATCGTTAGTATTAATAAACAAGCGGAACACGAGTCTAGACTTCGGGCCCTAATTGATTGCAAGTACTTAGGTGTGCCAAGACTTTTTTAAAATGAACATGTGTAAACATATTTACAATGTTCATTTTACAATGTTTAATATATTCATTTTAAACTGGCTTGACACGTGGTAGTACTACCACTGCTAATTGATGGGACACACTCCATATAAAGGGTATTTGGTCAATTCATTCACATTATCCGCTGTGCTCAACTACCCGCAACCCTCCGTCTCCTCAGACCTCACATATCCAAAAGCTTCTCCAATGGCTATGGCGGCCACTCTCTCGTCTCTCACCTCATCCTTTTCTTCTCTCTCTTTCTCTTCCCGAATCTCGCCCAAACCCTTCCAGCCTCTCTCTTTCGCTCCGCCGAAGCCCCTCTCTCTGAAATCCGCCGCCCCCAAATTCCCCGCCCTTATCGTCGCCTCCTCCGCCGTCGAGGTCGACTTCTCCGCCGCCGAGGTCGCCTCCTCCCCCGCCGAGGTCGCCGACCCGAACGTCGTCGAGGCGCTGGACATTACGAAGCTGGTGAAGTCCCGGCTTCCCGGTGGGTTCGCGGCGCAGACCTTAATCGGTACTGGCCGCAGGAAATCCGCTGTCGCTCGGGTTGTACTTACGGAAGGCACCGGCAACGTGTACATAAACTATCGGGAGGCGAAGGTATGGAATTACTTAATTGCTTTCTTTATTTTGTTGCTATTGCAGTTATATCATTGTTTTCTGGCCGCATGTTCTTTGAAAATGGATGAAGATGCCCCTTGACAGGAAAGTGATGAATTTAGGTGAAAGTTGAATTAATCGGGTGATTGAGCTCGTGCAAAAGGCAAAATACAAAATTATCTTTTGATTTGTGAGTTTGTTGTTAGGTATTAGCTTAAGCTTTTAGGTATGGTGGTCATTGAACAGTTAGCTGGGCTGCATTGGTTTTATTTTTGGGTGTTGAGAGATTTATGGGATTATGATATCTGAAGCCGCATTGTTCATATGTTAGCCGTTATGTTGAATAGTTTCCCTGTGGGGATTGAGTGCTTTGGGAAGTTGTTAAAGTTTCCTGGAAAGTATATGCATATTATTAGATGAAGTCCTAATCTTGGCCGTCGGCACTGTATAATATAATTTATAGTGTAAGCAAATTAGGCTGACCCTTGCACTACTAATGTGAACTGGGGATGTGCTTTTGATTAAATACCCTGCTCTATCGATTAAATACAATGTGGTCTTCGAAATACGATCATAACTAAGAAAAGAATGAAAGAATGTGTGGGAAAAGTATGGGTAGATGTACGTATATTTCAGATATTTGAATTAAATTGTATTTTTATTGGGTATGGAGACAGAACTTCGAATGAAGCCCGTATCTCTATCATATTAGATGAGATCAAATCGTATCTTTCATATAATTCACTTTTGAGAAACCTTCTGTAAGATCAATTCAGAGATATCTAGTCCCAATCAAATATGTTCGTTAAGAACACTTATTGTGGACATTGTTATTCATTCCTCCTGACTGGAAGGTGCCTTCAGAGTTAGAGGATATTGATATCTGAAGCCTTATTGTTCAAATGCTAGCCGTTATGTTGAGTAGCTTCCTTGTGGGAATTGAGTGCTTTGGGAAGTTGTTAAAGTTTCCTGGAAAGTATATGCATAGTATTAGATGAGTCCTAATCTTGGCCGTCAGCACTGTATAATCTAATTTAGAGTGTAAGCAAATTAGGCTGACCCTTGCACTACTAATGTGCACTGGGAATGTGTGTTTAGGAAATTCCTCGCTCTGTCGATTTTGTGGGCTCTTTGTGGCCTTTAGTGATACAATGTGGTCTTCGAAATACGATCATAACTAAGAAAAGAATGAAAGAATTTGTGAGAAAAATATGGCTAGATGTACGTATATTTCAGATATTTGACTTAAGTTGTATTTTTATTGGGTATGGAGACAAAACTTCGAATGAAGCCAGTATCTCTATCATATTTGATGACATCAAATCTTATCTTTCATATAGTGCACTTTTGAGAACCCTTTTGTAAAATCAGTTCATGGACATCTAGTCCCAATCAAATGTGTTAGGAATTTGTAAAGAACACTTACTGTGGACATTGTTATTTCCTCCTGAAGGGAAGGTGTCTTCAGATAGTTTTCGTCACTAGTTTAAAGATTTGATTAAATTATGTATCACATGTTGCATTTTTTAGTCTTTGGCTTGTTTTCTCATTGTTTAGTTATTTATTTACTTTTTTCATCCACTTGATGATGAACCTTACAGGATTACCTTCAGGGGAATCCTGAATGGCTGCGGTATGTGAAGACTCCTCTTGAGGCATTTGGGTATGAGAGAAGCTACGATGTGTTTGTAAAGGCACATGGGGGCGGTTTATCCGGTCAGGCGCAAGCCATTTGCCTTGGCGTTGCTAGAGCCTTGTTGAGAGTAAGTGCCAGCCACAGACCTACTTTGAAGGAGAAAGGTCTCCTCACTCGGGACTCCAGAGTGGTCGAGAGGAAGAAGGTGGGGTTGAAGAAAGCGAGAAAGCGTCCCCAATATTCCAAACGTTGAAGTTAGAGATGTAAATTGTGCCCGATATATTGTAATACGTATATGTTAGCTTTAATTTTATAAAATTTGTATGGAGCTTGGATCATTGACACTATGCTATAATATGTTATGAAGCGATTATCAGTTTTATATTTATAAAATTTTGTCACCGTTTTTCGCTATTTTTCTTGGCCCTGCCCCTTTTTTAATTAGCATATTCAGCAGTAACAGTAGCATCATTTGATTCATTTCTAACACTCTGAAAAGACATTGTTGCATAGTGTCATAGTGTGTACCTTCCTGCACCTGGAAATGCATTTGCTGCATTTCTTTTATGTGCTGGGATTTTTATCTGAGTAACTTATTATGTTTGGTTTCTCAGGACTGCAATTTGAAATCTTTCCGGTTTCGTCGTTCATATGCGTGAAATTGTGGAAAGATCTTAAAGCTGTGTGTGTGTACTTCACTGTGATATGTAAATTCTTCTTTTTGAATGCAGTTTTTACCCAAAGCTTGCTGATATTGTGTTTACAATCATAAATTTAAATTTCAAATTCTTGTGTGAGGTTGTCGATTTTAGATAGCCATAATTTCCTACAATAAAGTGTGTACTTGTGTTATGAAGTGACATCTTTTTAAAATTTATTTTGGCAAAATTGTATTTAGGTAAATTACTCTTGTACTCAAATTAATATTCAAACAATATTCTAAAATGACAACCAATTAATAATCAAAATTCAAAAAGTAATATTCATCTCCCCAAAAAAACAATATATACTGCATCACATGAACTAACTACACAGGTTCAACTTTCCATAGACCACTGCTACACATACTACAAAATCATACAACATGCCCACAAATTGCAGCTGTTTCATGTAGAAAATAAGCTTTCTTCACCAAATTGGCCATGCCGACGACAAAAAGCCATGTCACGATATTATTCACCATACGCATTAATAATTCTCAGCAACAGGTCTCGATGGGAAGAGCCTCATCAGAAAAGTGAACAAAGACCAAAGACAAACGACACCTAAAACACGGAAAGTCACCACCATGGATACCATAGCTGCAAGTCGGTCCGTAACTGCACTTGTGATTGTAGCCTCCCTCATCCCATATATTAACTTCTCGATGAAATTCATAGCCCTCGTCAGCTGATAAATCCTATAGACCTGGAAAATATATATATATATATATATATATATATATATA